GCCCGTCTCTCTCAAGTGAATACTGGGGGAACCGATAGAAAAATGCTCGTCGGGACTTACTCTGTCGGAGCTCAAGACAGCGATGACAGATGTTCAAATGACTCTGGCTCGTCGAAGAAGACGTCTCAGCTTCCTCCTCGGTGGAACCGAGAATAGTGCTAATTTGATTGAGATGTCAATTCACTGTCTGCATCCTTGAACGATTGTGGTTCCATCACTACTGCTACGCCGAGAGAAGCAACCGAAATCTTTCTTTTTTTCCTCACGCCCGACGGTGTCAGAGTTTGATCGAGCTGGAATCGATTTTCCACCTTACTCTTACTATTAGAGACGCCGAACGGGACAGAGAAGATTCTGAGTGATTTCACCTTCAACGTAGAAGACGATCGATCTACTCGCAGAACCTTCAGAAGATATCAACTCCAAGCTCCGAGGAAGGACGATAATTTATAATATTTTATAATATATAATAATAATAATAGTAACAATAATACTAATAATAATATATATACTTATAATAATAATAATCATAACTATGTGGATCCCGGCACTAGATTCGGCTGGAATTCGTTCCCCCGTCCCGAAAGGGAGTCGTTTCTCTTCCCTTCAATGAAAGGATGGTCGTAGAGAGGTCTCGGGATCATTTCTTCGAACCCGCGTTCCATAGCCCCTGAGAGACTTGCGTGGCCGGGATTTCGCGAAAATACCGCTTCTATGAACGATCGGAGGATGTATGTGTAACGAGTGTCGGTGGCTAAGGAAGTACCGTGAATCCTATCATCGTTAATACGACTCGATTTCCGAGCCTTGGAATCTAAAGACCGCCACCAGCTTGACGAGCAATGCATATGCAAGGCGTGATGTCACCGAGCTCCTGCCTGACGGCAAGTTTGTCGAAAATATCACTGATTCTTAGTGATCTGGCGTCTGGCGTGAGCTGGCGGGAGAGTGAACTACTTTGAGTGAATAAATTTGTACCTTATTTCCGCGGGTGGTATTATTGATTGGAATGGTGGAACGGGTTGAGAGTTTGAGAGAAAGGGGTCAATTCTATCACACATAATTGGAGAGGCCTCGCGGGGATGAAGAGAACGTTTTCAGTTGCCATCAGTCATGACTAGGCTCCCCAGCGGCTCATCACCGCGGTTCCGGAGCACCTGGAAGCGCTCGAACCGCACGGATCTCGCGATTCTGGAATCGCCGGAACCGCACTGGCCGGAACATGATTTCCGAAACTGATTAGAAGCGCCGGCCCTCAATTGGAGAGATTCTTCACTAGTTCTCGCTTCTCGCTATCAGTTTCAAGCTTCAGGAGTTGTATGGAACGCTAATGCCCGAGGAAGTTCTAAAATTCATGATGTTCAATCGCTTAGAGAAATGTTTCGGCAGGAGAAATGATGTGTGACGTGACAGCTGACAGCATGAGGGAGTATTTGTGATCCGTACCTGATTGAAATCCATGCGGGATATTATGGGAACCGGTGAACAGGTCCTTGTTGGTCTCATGCTTGATTGCGAAACGCTTTTATCGGAGCTCATTCCATCCATGCTCATGATAAACACTTACCCAATAAGCGCTCCGAATTACATCACCGTTGAGAAGCAAAGCGAACGTCGTGCGAAGGCTACGCCAGTTTGATTCTTCGGAGAAGCCTTCGCACGACGCTGGTTTTTTCTTCCTCCGACGAGGTGAAATTTCGAACGACGGTCCTCCGGGTCTGAGAAGAATGTTATACAAACTCACCGCCCTCGCAGGCTCGAACCTACCGTACACTGAAAATGCCGCAGTTCGCGTCGAAGGACGTGCGTGCCTCTGAATCACTCGAAAATAATATATCTCGGTGAGGACGTGAGGGTGAGGACCCAAATCACTGAAAGTTCCCGAAGCGAGCAGAACTCAATGCAGGAAGAGAAGCGCACGTGTACTTTCGTGCTGTCTCCGCGCCCGGCGCGGGCCTCGTAGCTCGTAGAACATAAACATGACCGGCCCAGTCTGCTGAGCAGTGGCCATCGATGGCTCAATAATCGTGGATAGAGAGAGAGGATACCTGGGGAGCTCCCTCGTAGACTCCTCCATCCTGGGTGTTCTTCTGGAATCATACTGCGCTGCGAGTGAGAGTGTCGAGGAGGGAATGTGGGGAACGTGGGATGTGAGATAAAAGTCCAGATAGTAGATGATAGTGGTTTTTCTAGGATAGACAATCTTGTCGTTGATCTCTGCTTTAAACTCGAAAGGTTCCAGCAAATAGCAAATAGCGGACGAACAGAGAATCGCGGCCACTTGGCCGCGGAACGAATAGACGGATGTTAAGAAAAAATCTAATGCATCACATCATCAGAATCACAGACCACATATAGAGACCTCGAAAGAGGCGAATTCGGAAACGCGAAAATAAACTGCATTCTCAAGGGGTACGTAATACCAGCGAACACAGAACAGTTCATCGCTGCTTTTTGGGACCCCGAAGACGGGAAGGACGGAAACTCAATGATATATCTGTGAGAAAGTCCAGATACTACAGGACAAGTCATATCCGCACTTGGGACACCGGAAGTACTCAGGCGGGACCGCGATAATGATTCCCGCTCCGTCGGAAACCTCTCGTTCCCTCGGAACGGAGAACGGAGTTTATTTCCCGTTCACGGGACACGGAGAACGGAAACTATTTTCCGTTCCCCGCGGAACGGGGACGGGAACTAACTTACGTTCGCCGCGGAACGTAAACTGATGTGAATTGAGATGTGATAACAAGGGAGCTATACTTCTCAGTGATAACAACGTGTATCACTCGAAAACGAAGCACATCGCATCACGCCACCACTTCATTCGAGAAATGCTTACCGAGGGGTCGGTGACCATCCTGCACCTTCCTACGGCTGAGATGACAGCCGACATATTCACCAAGAGTTTATTGTCCGAGAAGTTCAAGTTCTGCAGGGGAAGGCTCGGTTTGCACTAGAAGCGATTGAGATTTTTCTGGAAGAAGCGGGAAGAGGCGAGCTGCAGTTCTGCGCGAGGGGGGTGTAGAATATCGCGCAGCATAGCTGATTAGCCCGCGCTCAACTTCGTCCTTCTAGATTCTAGACTGTAACGGGCTTCGTCGTCTTCAGTGAAAAATGAGAATACATATTAGCGTGCAGCACGTTGTCCTACGTATCAGCTCCATACTATCTTTACCGGTGTTTTCCCTGTCCCTGTCATGATGTTCATCTCAGCGGTCGTGTCCAATTTGAACTCCATCAATCCCGTCGTCCTCGGAGGCATCGTGAATCTCGAGAAGCACAATGTTCGCAATACTACACATTTCACACGACTCTCCACACTTTCAGATGACTTGATCACATTCACTGGTTCGAGCCTGGGCCCATAATCTGTTAAATGACAGGGACAGGGAAAACACCGGTATGGATAGTATGGAGCGGATACGTAGGACAACGTGCTGCTCGCTAAAATGTATTCCCATTTTTCACCGAAGACGACGAAGCCCGTGACAGTCTAGAATCTAGAAGGACGAAGTTGAGCGCGGGCTAATCAGCTATGCTGCGCGATATTCTACAAGTCAGCGGGAGAATGTTGCAGCCACTTGCGCCCGTTCCAGCCGCGATCAAATAATGTTCAGTGAAGATGCGTTGCAATCTGTGGCGTCGATTCTTCGGAAAGCTAACCACCGATGACTCCTCACTCCTCAGATTCAGCTCTGACGTCGTCGTCCGCGAGCACGACGCCCCAGGCGTCCGGGAACGGAGCCGGAACTTCGTCGGACGAGGCAATCACACTCGACAGCATAGAGAGTTCCGAGGGCAGACTCAAACATCCCACGGCTGATAGGGCGAGACCTCCCGCTAGAAGACCTCCATCACATATTGGTCAGTCACAACGACAGCCACAACCGCAACTACAGCTTATCGATGTGTGCCAAACTCTAGATTGACCCCCAGTGCGTACAACTGAGGATTTTGTGTCGAATCTCTAAATGTGAACTCGAGTGCTCTGGATTCACAGGTTCTCCGCCTGGACACGCGGAGACTATCGCGGAAGAGAATGGCGATTCCCTTGTGGGGTCTACCAGCGCGGTGGCTCACCTGAACGGTCATAACGGCC